TTACATTTGAGGCAACAGGGATGCTTACAGCAAACTTTAAGAAAAACCGTGTCTAAAATTTATTCAAGTATAATACTATGCTATAAATATATAATTTAAAATGTGAAATCATTTTTGATTGGATGATTGATTTTGTCACTAATCAATTAGTGATGATCATTTTTGTGATAGAAAAGTTTCTTCACAAATTCTGTCACTAATTGATTAGAAATGAAATTTCATCACGAAATTTCATTATTAAACTTCCTTGAAAATAATATTTGAGAAAATATTTAATTTTTGTAATACAATAATTTAATTATTTCATATTTAATACTTTTAACACAATATTCATTATTTAATTATCAATTATTTCATATTCAATAGAGAATATATGTATGACAACACATGTCACCATTCATTTTGCAATAGAGTGTTTTTTCATTCAAAATATCGGCAAACATTAAAAAAAAAAAAAAGATAACTATGTATCACATAGGTAAAGTATATGTACGATATGCACTGCTCCGCATATCGCATGGTGAAGACCTTAGTTTCTCTTCATTAGAGAGATTAAATGAGTGTTGCTTTAAATTTTAAATTCAGGGTATTATGCAATTTTCTGCTTCTAAACTCACCAAGCAAGTATGCACACCTTTCTGTTTAATATTTTAGAAGTTATTTATGGCATGCTTCCTTAATTCGATCTTTATTCTTTTTTCGTGAGTCAAGATCATTTTATCTTTGCCTGTGCACATCCTTCTTCTTATTCTAGACTCAATTATCACAAAAAAACTAATACTGATTTAAGAAAATGAATAAAATCTTATAACAATGATTTCATACTTCACTAGATAATGTTTGTAATTGATCATTTAATATTTTATATTTAGGAAAAAGTAGATATCTGTAAAATTTCTTTTCAGGTTTTGCTTTAACTAAATAAACAATGATCCATGCTTATGTAATTTAAGGATTTTAAAAAGTCATTGATTAGTACCAATTAAAATTTTAGAAGTTGTACCTTGTATTCTCATCAATAGACTGATTACAAAGGGTCATATATAAAATACTCCTTGGGTCCTTAATGTAGGACCTAATTATTGAGTTAATCTTAGCTCTAAATATAAGACATATTTCTCATATTTATTTTTTTTTAAATTGTCCGATACTCTTCCAATCACAATCAAGAAGGAGAGAGGGGGGGATATTAAGAAAAATGATTATGGTGTTTTAGAAAAAAACATATCATATTGCTTATAATTAACTAACGCTCCTCACTTTTTTAATTTAATCAAATTAGTTAAATAGGTCTTATATTAAAGAGTGGAGGAATACAAACTTGGCTTAAGTGCACACAAAAAACTGATTGTGACTTACAAGTCAAGCACGTCAATATTTTCCATATTTCCATAGACTTCTAATATATTTGTTTGTTTCTTTGACACTTCTCGCTAACGTTTTTTATGGGTAATCTCTAGTCATAGCCTGCCAAACTAGACCACAAAATAGAAGTTGCAAAATGGTACATGACTTTGGGGTCTACTCACAAGTCAGTTATTCCATGTAGCTATGAATATTGGGTGGTTAGTATAATGAAGTCCTTAGAATTTTGATATATAAGTTTGTGAACGGTAGGGACAAGATATGGCCTGCAAGATTGATCGTAAGTGAAATAATGCAGTGAAAATGAAAATGTGGTTTAAGAAATTAAAGAGAAAAAGGTTCTTCTCATCATCAACATTATTTATGGGGTTATTCTATAACCTATACAATACGATGAAAATAAAAATAATTTCCTTGATGTGATAACAAGCCATATGTAGTTTTTTATCATGATTTTCTTTTTTCCTTCATTGCATCAACTTCTTCTAATGACCACTTAATGTTTGAAAAATCTACCATGCTTATGCCTGGCCTGGTGAGTGCTCTTTAAATAAACATTATTTGACTATTAATGAGCATATTAATAAAGGGAAAATAATAGAGAAATCATTTAATATACCTTATTGAAATATAAAATGAGATTTATTATGAAACATCTAAAAGTTTTTGTGACATTTGTTATGAATTGAGGGAATAGCTTAGTAGCACATACCAAATAGGTCCTTAGTCATAGTGAAACCTAGAAAAACTATTTAAAACTCTACTTTACAACTCTACTTCTGAACGAAAAGCACTCCTTATTAAGCTTGAAACTTCTATAAATGGTATCTTATATCTGCTCTTGATTAATTTATAATTAAATGTTTACTTAAGGATAATTTTTTAAAATTATTAATTTTATAACAATTTATATTATAAAAAATAAAGTATAAAGTATATTCTCTCTATCCATTATGATCGAGTAAGTAATTAAAGTTTTTTTTTTTGCCTCTTCCATTCATGCTTTCTCTTTATTTGGTTGTTAACCCAAATATATTCGGGATTAGTGTTTTGCCAATGTCATTGTTTGGCTAGTATCAGAAATTAAGATGTTATTTATATGCTTTAAAATTAAAACACTTGCAAGATTAATAAGTTTGCTGTTATAGGACTTATTGGAAATTTCTAATTTTTTAAATAAATTTAAAAACTCCTCAAATTCTTCCAATGACATATTCTTTAAATTCTTCGAACATGTTTAGTTGGCATTTTCTAGGATTTAGATTTAGATTATATATTGTCTTCCCTTTTTTTTCCCACGCGACTTTTTTATACCCCCAAATCAAATAATGTAATATTAAATTCATGATCATCTACTGAATTTCTATAGTGTTAATTTAAATTTAAGATTAAGATCTATTATGCAATTTTATGCTTTTAGATTAGTATGCACATGTTTGTTTTTATTTTATTTCCTATGGCATCCATGCTTCTTAATTTGATCTTTACTATAACATACCGCGTTTCATTTTTAGCCTATTGGTGCGAGAGCACCCTATCTTCTTTCTCAATTTAATTATCAACAGAATAAAATTTTTTTTAAAGAAATTAACTAAAAGTTTTAGAATCTTCTAAGAGATGATTTCATACTTTACTAGCTAACATTTTTATTGATTATTTCAGACTTAATATTCGGGAAAAATTTCATAACCTCTGAAATTCCATTCATGCTTTGCTTTAATTTAAAAATATCCTTGCTTATATAATTTTAAGGATTTCAAAAATCATGAATTATTTCTTTTCGATGTGTAAAAAAAATCATCAATTATTTTTTCCGGTCTATAAAAGTTCATCAATTATTACCAATATAAAATTTAACACAACCAAATGAAGCTGTTTCTTTACCATTCAAAAGGAGACATTTAGAAGCTGTTTCCGGTCAGATGAATTGTAACTACGACTGAAAATTTGACTTTAATGCACACTAGACAGGTTGTGTTTTGCAAGAAAATGCGCTAGTAGTTTCTCTATTTCCAAAGACTTTGATATATTTATTTGTTTCTTTAACATCTTCTTGATCGCTAATTTCTTTGGGTAATCTCTAGGTATATTCACAAAAGTATTTGAAGACTAAATGCTAAAATGATTTTCATTTCAACAATAAAATTCAAACCTCACGCTCCTTTAAAATATGTGCTATATTATATTCATATAAACTAAACCAACTTTAATTTTGTTAATATGTTATCCTTCAATATGATTTTCAAAATGCTTTAAAACAATTGCACAAATGATCCCTTCAAGTTTGTGGTGTAGAAAGTGGATTATCAGATTGAGTTTCTGTGCCTTTTGAAATATACATACAAAAATACATACTATTTTTTTTTGTCACATACAATCTATAAAATCTGAAACAAAAAATAATTAAATTCTGCGCTATTCATGTGTTTTTGAAGTCAACTGTGGTATTCTCTTTTGGGTAAACTAAGATGATATTACCAAATTAAAATTACAAACACACGCACACACGAGTTGTTTCGTTTGAAATTGAGTGTGACTTTGAGGTCTACTTACAAGTGAAGCGCTCCATGTACCAATGCATACGTACAATCAATTCAAGTTTGTAGACTTTTGATAAACATTTTGTTCATGCATGCTTCTTCCCACTAGTAATTGTAATTTTTTTCCTCTGTCTATGGCCTACAAGACTAACCATAAATGAAATAATGCAATGGAAATGAAAATGCGGTTCAGGAAGTGGAATTATACTCTCATTACTAACGTATTTATGGAGTCATTTCATCAACTTGTTTTTGGGGATAACTTTAATCTTTGGAATGCCGATTTCATCTATGCTCAACTCTTTGTTGGTATTAACTGGAATATATTTTGGTTTAGTGGTTTGTCAATATCTTTGTTTGGTTAGTCTTAAAAAAATTCAGATGTTATTTACACTTAGCTGTTATTTATAAATTTATTTTTGTGGATGAATTTTCATTTTGAAAATTCCCTAATTAAAATAAATTGAAGGCTGCTTTTAATAAAATAGATGATACACTAGTTGAAAATTGCAAATTGAGACTACGTCAAAATTAACATTTTAAAAAATGGGATAAGGTGATTATATACTCTAAAAGTATTCATGAAAAAACACCCAGCATCTGATTTTTTTTTTTGCTCTTATCTGCCATTATATAAATTTTTTTATCTGTTATTGTATAAATACATGTATTGTAACATGTCGTGTAATCTTATTAGGTGTAACAAAATAATCTTTAAGTTTCCATCCTGGAGCGTGTAATCTTGGCAAATACCATTTTTAATTATACAATTTACTTTACTGTATGTGTGTATTGAAATATTATCTGGCAAAAAAAATGTTTATAGAAATATTAAAGCCACACAAGAAAAACAGAAGAGAATATAAATCAATTTTAAACGAAGTACAATATAAAAAAGTAAAAAGCTTTTATTATTTGGAAGTCTGTAATTAATCACAATCACGCAATATATTTTATTTTAGTGTTCACTTTTTTATGGTTATTTTTTAATGTAGTCACAAGAGATGTCATTTTGCAATTTGAAATTTAATGTCCTCGCCTTGACTTTGATTTAGAATTGGAGAAGTATAAATGGACGTGTTTGTTAATTGCTAGATGCACAACACTTGCGAATTTGAGAAGTCTGCTGTGCAAGACATGGAAAAACCTCTCCCCTTTGTTTTCCTTTTCTTTTTTCATTGCTTCATGTCCTGCTTAGCTTGGAGTCAAACAAACATGACTACCGACATATCTGCACTCCTTTCCCTTAAATCCTATATCACTTCGGATCCATACAATTTCTTAGCTAATTGGTCTGTCTCTTCTTCTCCCTGTAGTTGGGCTGGTGTCACCTGCAATACTCGTCATGGAAGGGTCCATTCCTTGAATCTTGGTGGCATGGATCTTAAGGGTAGCATATCTCCACAACTAGGAAATCTCTCCTTTCTAGTTGATCTTGATCTCAGTAAAAACAACTTTCATGGTCAAATTCCTCAAGACTTAGTTCAATTACGTCAATTGAGACTGTTCAACTTGAGCTATAATGACTTTTATGGACAAGTTCCAACATGGATAGGAGATTTATCTATGCTTGAGCAGCTGAGTTTTCGAAATAACAGTCTCAATGGGTTTATTCCATTATCTCTATTCAATCTATCAAGGTTGGAGACTTTGGATTGGAACTCTAATATCATTGAAGGTACCATTCCACTTAAGATAGGAAGTCTAAAGCACTTGAAGAATTTACAACTTTCAAGGAACAAACTTTCAGGAACAATTCCCCAAACAATTTCCAACTTATCTTCACTTGAACTGCTATGGTTGTCTTATAATAGTTTGTCAGGTATGTTTGGATTAATTTTTATATTTATATTTTTGTTTGCTCAAAACCAGTCTATTTATTCATCTGGATATAAACTCTCAATAATCATGTGTTTGGGTGCGTTGAATGTGGTTTTTCTTTAATGATCCTTTGTTCTCAAAATTGAAGTTAATTATTTATAAAGTAAGGTGATAAAGCATAGAATTCAAGTTTTCATTATTAATATTGAATAACTCAGTTCTAATATTGATATTTTTTTCCTGTCAATCTATGCAAATTATATCATTTTGAAAGAAAAATTTGTTTAAATTCTTAGGAATTACTTAGGTCATGATGTTTTAGAAGATATAGAATGGGTTTTATTTGTCATTACATACCAAACGGTTCTTGAGGATACTCCAAAACGCAGAAGACTTGTTCCTCAAAAATGCGACTCTTGCATTTTTTTAGCATTTTATATTGATGAGATTTTTTTTTCAATTTGTGAAATAAAAAGCTATGTCGAGTTGAATTTTAGAACTTTAAAATAGTTAAGACGTGTTTTATGGCGATCCCTTATTCGCAATGTGCTTTGAACACCTGGCACCAGCTGGGATTCCTTCTTTCTACTTTTTTGGTATTTTTCATTTCCCCCCATATTTTCTTTTCAATGGCAAGTTTTTTGATTCTCTTTTGTTATAGACAATCCACTAGAATTTAATAAACACACATAATTATTATGCTTAGAGTGTGTAAAATTTGCAAATACCATTTTTACTGTATGTTAATTGAAATTTTAAAAGGGCCCAATACACCACTACCTAGAGTCACAAGGAATTAAAATGCTGGAGTATTTCTTACTTTTATTAATGATATTTCTATCTTGGGTCATTTGCAATTAGCTGTTTATATTTAGTAATATTCTTAGAATCTGAATAGTCTGTTTATTTATATATTCATTTTAGCTTCTCAAACTTTAAAAAAATAATAACTTTAGATGTATTGAAAACAAATATAGAATACCACTCTAATTAATTTTAATTTGATGTAAGCACAAGAGATGTCATTTTCCCAGTTTGAAATTGAGTTTGCACTTCTTGACTTTGATTTGGGATTGGAGAAATATAAATGACGTGTCTATTAATTTTTGGATGCTCGACACTTACAAATTAAATTTTCTACTTTTATCTTAATTATAACAGTTTGTTGGGTATGTTTTGAATGATTCTGGGCTTGTCTCCATTTTTTTTCTTTTGTTTTAGTTGTTGTTATATTTTTGTGCATTTCTTATTGTTTTTTCCATCATTTTTCTATTCTTCTTAAAAGAACAAAAACCAATTTGTCATCCCAATTTTGAGATGGTTAGTAACCCTATACTATAGGGAAAAAGACTATTGTTATAATCCTAGTCTCACGAGATCTTTTAAGACCCATTATCAATCTTTGAAAATGATATTTATTATTACCATGCTATTACAAACTTTTTGAAGTTTTTTTAATTAAAAAAAAAGAGTAAACCTTACCAGCAACATGTTTGGCAAATGGAACATTTAATTTTAATTTGGATAATATAACATATTAATTTTATGATATATTATTCACTTTTATTTTAAATAAGTTTATAGATAACAAAAATAATTTTTTTGGAGTCTTCCAAAAAATAAGTGCTTTGAAAGAAGCGATGAATTGGCGTAAATCTGAAAAAATAACAAAAATAAATTTAAATTAATCAAAATTATAGAAAAATGAACTGAACTGAAACATAAAACAGTGTAATGAATTCCCATATCCAAAATATTTATTCTATGTTATTACCTAAGTTGAATTGAAAGGGTTATTTCTATTTTGAAAATAAGTATCGTTGTGTTTATTATTTACGATGTACTAATGTTATTTCTCGTATAAGAGTGCAAGTCTTACTATGTGTTTTCAAAAATGCATATATGTCTCATGTACATAATATTTTTGTTAACTAGACCAATGATCTTGAACTGTTCCTGCATAGGACTTAGCTAGCTAGTGACAAATTTAATTTTTGAAAATAATTATATTTCTTAACACTGTCAGCTTAGCTTTGTAAGATTACATCTTACCCTTGAGTATATTTTCAAAATTGTTTTCAATAAAAATGCAGACATAAAATGCAACACTTGATTGACAAATATAAATAGGTCATACTTTAAAAAAATCTTCCATGTGCATGGTCAAACCCAATAGCAAGGAAAACAAAAACCTAACAAAATCCACACTCTTAACTTCTCTTTCTTTTACTTTCTAGCATTTAACTTAAATTAATTGTTGATTATGTCTTTCAATATTTATACAGTGAAATAATAATTTTTGCTATGCATATTAATTATTTCAACAGCGGATTATTTGATCATTTTATTATGACATATGATAGTTAATACACATGCTATGAAAGTTGATATTGACATATTGTTTATCATTTAATATATTGGAAGGAGCCATTCCAAGTGAGATTGGTGATCTTCGACAGCTTCATACAATATATCTTTCAAATAATCAGTTTTCAAGTACTATACCAACCTCCATATTTAATAGTTCAGTGCGGCAATACATTGAACTTAACATCAATAATTTATTTGGGAGTCTGCCAACAAATGTGTGCTCTGGGATTCCAAAACTCCAATCATTTTATGTGGATGGAAATGATTTGTCTGGCAAAATACCCTCCATTTGGCATCAATGCAAGGAATTGGTAGATTTACAATTGGGGCATAACAAATTCAATGGAGGAGACATACTAACTGACATTGGAAATTTGACCAAACTTGAGTTTCTATGTCTTAGCAGCAGCAACTTGCAAGGTAAGAGCTTTAATTATGCGGTTGTCTAAAATTTTGTTTTTACTATTTTGATAAGTCATTAATTTAATTTAAATATTACAAATTTAGTCAATAATAATTTTGCTAGATTAATTTTGAAGACATGAAACTTGATGCTTTCTTTTAATCTCAAACTGGATATGCTTTCTTTTATATATAATTTAATTTTCACACATGTCAAAACATGAAATAAAATATTTAAACTGAACAAAAATAAATTAATCAATATTTGTTATTAACTTTCATGTGGTGTGGCATTCCTTCCGTGTCGGTTATTTTCCCCTCCATTTTGTTGCTGGTGGCAAGTTTTTTTAAAATAAATCTAGTTCTATATTATCAATTACAGCATATCAGTGTTATTTTTCAAAATGAGTAAGCCTTGAACAATGTTATAAGAAAAAATATAAATTTTGTATCTCGTAGGCATAACATGTAAATGAAATATCTCATTAAAAAAAGTAGAAATCTATTATTTACTAATATTATAAATTGCTAATACGCACAAATATGTTAATTCGTTCGCATTGAATTGGAACAATTTTCTGGCCAAAGAAATTGGAACAATTCTGTACGTTCCATTCTTGGTAAAATTGAATAATGCTCTTGAACATAAAAATTTTCACTGGTAATTTCTTAATAATTATTTAATTTGAAGTTAAAAGAAACATCCAAGAAGGGGAAAAATTTAACAAATGTTGACACATTATACATTATGTGGAACTTGTTTTTCCTTGTCAAGCAAATATACTTAATGATTTGGAAAATTTTCAGATTAAAAAGCCTGAAATTATGATATTTTAATTTTCAAATAAATTGTTATCATGAGTGAAAGCTAAAATAAAAGAGTGAACTTATATTATTTTTTTTGCATTACAGTGTTACTTTTAACTTTAGCAACCACCTGGTTGGGAGATTAAATCCCACCAACCCCACTGTCCTAGGCAAAAAAGATAAAATGCTTCGTCAAGGGGTTCTAAAGTTATCAAAAAAACAGAGAGAAATTTTTATAATTTTTCATGAATTTCAAAATTATAATTTGATTTTTCTTCATTTTCTATAATTTTAAAGTATTACATACCTGAATTGAAATAACATAATTTTATGTTTTTTTATCTGAAAGTTTTGCTAGTGAATTCTCACTAAAATTGTACCAAAAAATTCTTTCATGTAAAGATAAATTGCTGAAAAGGTAGCCTAGTGCTTTATGCCATACATGATTAATTGGAAAACGTACAAAAAATTATTTAGTCAAACTTAACGTACTGGCTTGCGATATATTTTTTTTAAACAAAATTTGATGGTTAGACAAAATTTGCTTCTCACTTTTTAATATTTATACATCGATTAATCCGTATAACATATGTATTCAAGTTTTTGGAATTAGTACGTAAGAAACGTATATATGTACATATATATTTATATATTACCTATATGCAAATAATATCTTTTGTGTTTATTCCATTTCTGTTTTTTAAAGTGGAGGGGTGTTAGAAGTCTTGTTAACAAAAGTATTATAAATTATTTTATTTTTCCTATTTATTATAAATTGTTTATTTCCCCATTTACAAGTCCATTCAGCGTTTTCACAAGAAGAGTTATTAATGAATTATATTTAAATGCCAACCTCTTTACAAGTATTAAGATTATTATTTCTTATTTTTCTTCTTTTATTTCCTTTTTGTTAATATTCTTCAATAATGAAATAAATTTAAAATTATATTTTATTTGTTCATTTCTTTAGTATTGTACATTTTTCTAGTGGAAACTTAAATATGACTAATGATTTACAATCACAAAACAATGATTTTCGTTTTTTTTCTCCATTTAGAGAAAAATAAAAATGAAATTTCTTTTGGCCATTTCATTCATTCATATTATTCGTTCATATAATGGGACTTATGCTAAGCTTGTGATTAGAATGCCAAAATAAAAAGAAAGATAAGATTAATAGCTGATGGGACCACATGATATTTAAAATGTGCAATACCTTTTTTTTTTTTTTTAGTTTCTCTCTTAAAACTATCTCATCATTTACACTTTGATCAATAAAATGGCTTCACCATATATAATTTTCCCACAAATCATTCCAAGTGAGATTGGAAACTGGACAAACCTCCAGATCCTTCATCTTAGCATTCTTAGCAACAACAATTTGCAAGGCTAGAATTTTAATTATATGACTGTGTTAGACCA